TTTAATCACTATATCTTTACAACATACAAAATGAATTTTTTCACCATGAATACACTGCATTTTAGTCCAAAGATATTACCAAACACATTATTATCAACAGATAATATTCCATTTTTGTATGTTAAATATTTTGCATTTTTTCCCCCTTGATTCCTCCCCTCCAAGACGTCCACTGACCTACTTTGAGCCCTGCTTTCCGTGTCTGAGAAATGGGCAGGGCTGTTCTGAAGGCTCCTGCACAGAGGTATAACGTATGAGGGGCAGGCACTGACCACGTGGACAGCACAGGCTTCTTGCTCTCTTCAGGAACAGCTCCAAAGTTCCCTCTGGGGACTTCCTTCCCTCACCATCTGATCATGAGACACATGTGGGACCACCTCCTGTTCCCCTCCTACCCAGAGTCAAGAAAGGGCAGGTGACCTAAGGGAGGTCAACCATGGGCTGTGACCTTCAGCCTCTGCTGAAGCTGTTCAGCCAGTAGGAAAAACTGGACCTGCCAGGAATCAGTATAATTTGTGGCTCTGAAAATAAAACTGGCAGGGGAAAACAGCGAGAGCAACCAATAGGCTATAATTCAAGACATTTTTAGTTATAAAAGTCAAGAAATTTCTTTCATGCTCAAGTAATTTTAGATTTTTCTCTCCTACAATCTAAATAAATCCTGACACATAGTATGTAAAGTACTCATTACTGAATAATGGATCAATAACCCCTTTCCTTTTAACCTAGAGCTTGAAGGGCCATTATGTTTCTATCAACTGTCATCTACATCTATCATCCATTTATTTATTTATTACCTATCTACCGTCTATCTGTCTAATCTATCATTTATATACCTATCACCTATGTATTTATAATCTGTTGGGTCATTGGAAAAGTCATGACATATTTTCCTATGCAAACTGCATCATGACTTTTCCAATGACCCAATATCTATCACCTATCTACTATCATAATAAACATACACACGTATATACATACATATATACATGCACATTTGTAATGTCTTATAGTGAATAATATTTTCATTTACAAGAAATATACTTTCATATCTCTTTTTCTTCAGTTAAGTACCAAAAAAATTCTAGGAGTAACCAGGGTGTTACGATGTTCATTAACAAGTGAAGAAACTGAGCCCAGAGAGTTTGAGAGGTGACTCCAACTTAATTGGGTTGAAAATACAATGTCAGTATGCTGGGATCATGCAGTTAACACAAGCTGAGTATGAAAGAACTGCCCCTCGTGCCTAGAGCAAGGACTCGGCTAAGGAGAACTGTTTGCAAGGTCAACAGTTTTACGAGTTCTGGACCTCACCTCTATTGTGTTACTGTACTGGCCTGCACTCAGTTTCTCTGCCATGGGCCTTATTGCCATACCCCGGTACCCCATAAAGGCACCCCCAGCCTTACTATAACTTTTACAATAATCCTAAAAGAATGCGGATCCACTAAGGCGGCAGCTGCGTAGGGCGGCGACTGTGAACAGGAGTTACTCCCATTAGACTCATCCCACCCTCCTGGAAAACGTCAATAAAGAATGCTACATTCACTTCTCCTACTGGGGATTACTAATGGAGGGTCCCAAGTACACAGTAACCTCTAGGTCAGTCATTAAGCTGCTCACAAGACCACATTCCTTTCCTATATAGACTCACCCTCTTAGCTGTAGACTACCCCAGAGATAACATACGTATTTCACTTTAGTATATACTAACCTTGTCTTTACTAAACCAGACAGGATTTATTTCTAGGCTCTTGTAATTACTGCCACCCTATCCTGAAGCTGAAGTTCTCAAAAGCTGACCCAAGGCTCAAAATTCTCAAGTCAATCTTGGACTAAAGTGATCAAGCTGGTCTGGGACTAAAAATTCCTGGAAACCCTCTCATCCAAAGACCCTCCCTGGTAATCAAGATCTAAGAAGAAGATACACCCAAAAAATGGACTTCCTCATTCTAAAAATTATGACTGTTTATACCTAAACAAAACAGACGTCATGTTTTATGATTATTGTTCCTATACTTTGAATGCCTTACCTTTTGGAGTAAAATCCTTCACTTATTTCCCCTCACCCATCCTACCCCTGTAAAACTCCTTATATAATAGATACACATGACTTCTGGCCATCAGGGCTGCAGTCTGGAGTTTACTCTGGCTGTAGTTGGCTGAGAACATGCTAAAGGGCATGAGGTCTTAGTCTGATTCCTGCTCACCCGCGTCGCCTTCCTGTGCACCCACCCCGGCTGGGGTACAACTCCCAGCATCAGTAGAAGCCAACATTTGAAGAGAATGTTCTTATTTACCCAGCACTTTCATGTAAAGAGTCTCTCACTAATCCGTTGGTGTCTTAGAAACCTTAAGCAGTACATCAAACAGTAGACCTTAAAGGCCAACTCCGTTGCCTAGTGGTTACGGGATCTGGATTCCACACAGCCAACTACAGTTCAAATCCCAGCCCCAGTGGCTCTTCTGACACAATTTCCCTCCTTTAATAACATGTATTATGTATCACACAAGCTCAGTTATGCATCTGATCCCGTTGGTCCGCTCTCAGGAGTCTCTTCTGGAAAAGTTTAGGCTCAGAGATATTTATCTTGGCCATATTTAAATTGTCAAAGTAATGATAACCATCCTAAAAGGATAAAGGTTAGATAGCTTATTGTACTTTCCCACAGTGGAACGTTAATAGCCATTAAAAACGATTTTAAAAGAGTTTGCTGTAATAACGGGAGAGTGCCCCTACCAGACTATTAATTTGAAAAAGCAGAATACAAAACTGTTATACAAGAAAAAGAACACAGGGGACCAGCAGTTAGTGTAATGGCTATGTCGCTGGACTCCCACATAGTCGACCGCGGTTCGCGTCCCAGACCTGGTGGCTTAAAACTCACGCTGGGCGTGTGTGCGTGCGTGCCCAAGATCCCGAGAGGAGAGTGGAGGAGAAGGGATTGCGGCGTGACCATCCCCCCTGGGGGGTGATTTCTCGCTTTCTGTCTCTATGTTTCTCTCTGTCTGTCTGGCGAGCGCACACGCCCTATAGTGAAAAACCTCTCAAAAAAAAAAAAAAAAGAGCACAAAAAGAATTGCACACCAAAATGCAATTTGTGTGTGATGGTGTTCTACATAATTAATTAATGAATTGTTGTTTCTTTTTAAATTTGTTGTAGGGCACATACACTTGCTAAGGAGAGAGAGGGAGAAAGAGCAAGTGAAAGTGAGAAATCACCCCACACAGGCCACAGCCACACTGCAATCCCTTTTTCTCCACTCTCCTCTAGGGATTTTGAGCACGTGCACACTCCTGGTGTGCTCTCACAAGCCATTGGGTCCAGGGCTCGAACCACACAGTCGGCCCTGTGGGATCTAGCCACCTTAATCACATCACCTGGCTGGCACTCTTATGTAGGTGTTTTTCTTTTTTTGGTAGAGGTTTTTGCTATAGGGCACGTGTGCTTGCCAGAAAGACAGAGAGAGATGGAGAGACAGAAAGCAAGAAATCACCCCCCAGGGGGGATGGTCACGCCGCAATCCCTTCTCCTCCACTCTCCTCTCGGGATCTTGGGCACCGCACGCACACGTGCCCAGCGTGAGTTTAAGCCACCGGGTCCAGGACTCCAACCACAGTTGACTACATGGGAGTCCAGTGACATAGCCATTATGCCAACTGCTGGTCCCCCTCTTATGTATTTTATCTTCTGTATTTTGCAATAAGTTTATGCTGTTTATCTGATCATTTTACTTTAAAAAGATTTCTTTGTATAGCAGTGCAAACACGAAAGGGTTTATTTCCCTAGACAATAGAAATGTTTGGGTCACTACCCAGATTCAAAAAAAAACTTTCAGTAGTTATTCAGACTTGTTTCATATTTTCCTGTAGAAGTGCTGGCATCTATGGCATCTGGACAGTCTATGTTCTCCTAGCACCCAATGTTCAAAGAGTTTCTGAGAATGAAGAGCACTCAGAATTACTGATGACAGTCAAGAACAAGGGCAAAGCTAGACTTCCTCACCCAGGCTCGCTTTTGTTGCTTTCAAAATCAATGAATCAACTCAGCAGCTAAATGAAGCAGTCAGAATTTGTTTCCTCAAGTAGGCTGTCCTTCTAGCTTAGGAAACATTTGCTAAGTGCCTCCAACATGTCTGACACTGTGTTAGACTCTCAGAAACAGAGCAACAAGAAAAAATCCTTGCTTTCAAGGAGTAAGCAATTTCTCAGTGAGAGCAGATTAGTAAGCCAAGAATCTGGGTTCATGGTAGGAAAGGTTGTGCTGAGTCAACCATAGGCCGTCATGGAGACCGTGAGGGGCCCTCACCCAGCCTGGGGGTCAGCAAAGGCTTTTGACCCTAGAGTTTCCTAAGCTGGTTACCAGGAATGTGCAGGCTTGGTCAGGGTACTCTGGAGGAGATGGGGACATGAGTGATTTAGGAAGTAGAGATGTTCCATGCACAGGCACAAAGGGAGGGAACCATTGGCGGGGTGGTATTTCCAGGACGCAAATTTGAAGCAGAGATAATGACAGAAATGGGATGGGGACAAAAGCTTTCAAATGTGGATTATAGCAGGCCTGTGGGCTGGATTCAGAGCTTGGAAAGTGTCATGTCTACCCCGGGCAGCCATCTGGAGTGGAGTAAAACGCCAGCTTGTGGTGGCCCTTCTTGCCATCAACACTGTGGGTATGATTTTCTAAAAGGTTGAACTCCCCTTAGTAGACTGTATTTGGCATCTCTTCTAACATTCCACATATTTTCTCAAATTTACAAAACCTTTCTAAAACTATTTGCAATTCTGATTCAACAGGTAAGAGAAAAGATTAAAATTAACATGAAGCATATGCTTAAAGATTTTATCAGAAAATGTACTCTACAAAATATTTAAGGATACTTGAGCCCAGAAAATGTCTTTCCTTTGCCTTTACAACACAGAAGAGTCCTTCCAGCAGAGTCAAATTTACATTTGGTTCCATATTTAGGGATTTGCTGGAGCTCAGAACGGAATTACTCACCACAGATTGACGAGGAAAGGGTGCTCCAGCCCCTGCATGATCTGCAGCTCCCGGAAGACATTGCGGACTTCGTCCCTCTCGATGCACTTCTGCTTGTTCATGTACTTCATCGCATACATTTTCTTAGTGTCTCGCTTCTGCACGATACATACCTGAGCAACAGCCAAAGGAGAGAACATTCAGGCCAACGTTACTGATTGTCTTCCATGCTTTGATTTCCATATTTAAGGATTTTTGTCTTCTCTTGAACTGTTGGTAGGTTAATCTACCTACGATTTGAACTGAATCCTAACCTTTTTCTTTGTTTTAAGTAAATTTCTCGTCACATTTTTTTATTTTTATCTATTAAAACTAAAACATTTTTGAAGTTAAAAATGTATTAAAAAATACATTTAGTTAACACCTAGTTAATGACTACAGTAAGCTATATAGCCCCAGTGAGGTGCTACTTTATAGTATGTTCACTTTACTCACTGAAGTTTATGCCTAAAGTCTGACATATGTTCTTAAACACATATATATCAGCTGTGTTTGATATTGAAAGTCTTTAAATTAATTAAGATGTTTAGTGAACTGATAAAATGTGAAAAAAATGGCACGGAAAACAACTGTATATACCAGAGACAGTGTCGGACAAGGTAGGAAATCAAGGGGGGGAAGCAAAATATATAAGAAATAAGAAGTAGAAAAATATTTGTTGATGATAACATGTATGGTAATATCCTTGATTGAACCAATATACAATGTATACTGGATGAAAGATCACATTTTGTATACTGTATTGATGTACAGTGAATGACTGTAAATAAATAAATAAATAAATTTTTAAAAATAGGGGATACACACACACACACACAGGGATCTTGGGCACACACACACACACACACACACACACACACACAGTATTTTTTAAGAAACAAGAAATGGAAAATTATTTGTTGATGATAACATGTATGATTAAGCCACTATACAGTATATTCTAGATGAAAAATCACATTTTGTATGCTGTGATGATGTTCAATGAATGAATGTAAAATAAATAAATTTATAAAATAAATATATGTGTATATATATATATACGCACATATATATATACATATATAAAACATATATATGTATACATATATATACAAAATATATATATGTGTATGTGTGTATATATACACACATAGATATATATATATATATATATGCATACAAAAGGCGGGCCCCATAGTCTAGTGGTAAGGAAGCCAGATCCCACATGGATCACGTGTAGTTCAAATCCCAGTCCCATGGCGGGCACTTGTATGCCCCAAATACTAATAATAGGGAGAAATGGAAAAAAAGAGATTACATCATGACCATGCCCCATTGGGGGTGCCTTCTTTCTCTCTCTTTCTCAGGTGAGCATATGTGCTCTCTGGCAATTAAGAAAATAAAAATAAATAAAGAATAGGAAAGCCAACCCTCCATTGCATTTTCGCACCTGGATTCAAGTCAGTTCTAAATATTCACTAGCAGAGAAGCTCTGGCTAAGCCCTCAACCTCTGCCTCTATGAAAACAAAGCGTTGGACCACATTCATCATTCATTAAATATTTTCATGAAGTATGGGTCACGCACTAAGAGCTGGAGGAGTTGCAGACAGAGGGAGATAAAAGGAGCAGCGCTGCCCTCAGGGAGCTCACAGCCCAGGAGAAAACGATCAGGAGTACAAGTGATCACAACTCCACGGTGTGCGTGACTATTTCGGACCCTGTCTGTATGCACCTAAAGCCCCTCACTCTCCTTACTTCAGCATACACCCACCCAACTTCCATTTGCCAGTCCTACATTTCTTTGCCTAAGGATTCTCTCTTGCCAGTAGAAGCTACTTTGCTGCCCATGCAGGCCATCAAAGCCAGGAATCAACGTCCCCAGGAGCAATGTTCAACTCATGACTAATGAGAACTGGGGTATCAGTATTCCAGGTCCCTGTCTGTTGGGCAAGGTGAGACACTAGGGTAGCATGCTTGACAGCACATCCTTCACTGGTTCTTCCGCCCTTACTTCCCTGACTCACCTCTCAACTCACCTACTCGTATTGTCTTTGCTTCTCCACTTCCCTGTTCTCAAATCCATGCCTCAGAGCCTGCTTCTGAGGAAACCCACACTAAGGCAGATGGGCTCTGATGTAGTGAAGAAATCCTAACTACAATGATGACAGCCCCCATGCACTGAGCACTTTATGCAGGCCTCACTCTGAGCGACTGTATCATTGGCTATCTCACCTAATTGCCACATGAACCATATGGATAAAGTCCATCTTCCTTTACCATAAGGAAGTCCTAGCCCTGATAGGACCAAGAGTTAGCGTAATGGCTATGTCACTGAACTCCAATGTAGCCAACTGCGGTTCGAGTCCCGGACCTGGTGGCTTAAACTCACACCGGAGTGTGTGCGTGTGTGCCCAAGATCCCGAGAGGAGAATGGAGGAGAAGGGATTGTGGTGTGGCCATCCCCCTAGGGGGTAAGTTCCCGCTTTCTATCTCTCTGTCTCTCTCTGTCTTTCTGGCGAGTGCATGTACCCTATAGCAAAAACCTCTCAAAAAAACAAACAAACAAACCAAAAAAAAGTCCTAGCCCTGAGTTGCAAATGTAATTAGGAATCTAACTAACTAACTTGCCCAGAATTCAATAAGCCATTAGAGGGCAGGGCAAGGATTTGAACCTGTGAGGGTCTGACTTCTGAATGATTCCCTTATCTGGGGGCAGCCAGGGCAGGGGAGGGAGAACAAACTGTCAGAGAAGGCTTTTTATAGGAATTAATGCCAGAGAGTGAGCACCCAAGGATGGAAAGATGGCAAGGACAACAAAAAAGGCTTAGAGGGACAGGGGATATCACAAAGGAGAGTGAGGAGCCCAAGGAGACAGAGCCAATAGCAAGGCAGGGCTGGATACAGCAGGGCTGACGTGTACCATGTGGAATGAACAGTAACGAAGACTGTGTAATTTTCCCAGCTGCCTGGTGAGCCCTTCCAAGGAGCGACCATAGCAAAGGATCACAAACTGAGTGGCTTAAACAATAGAACTGACTGTCTCATAGTTCTAGAGCCTAGAAGTCCAAGATGAAGGCACCAGCTGGGCCACACTCCCTCTGAATGCTCACGGGGAGAACCCTTTCTGCTTCTTCTGGTTTCTGGTAAGGTCACAATCCCTGGTGCTCCCTGAGTTGTGGTGGCCGCACTTTGATCTCGGTCTCTTCCTTTGTCACACAGCCTTCTCCCTGAGTGTCTGTCTCTGTTTCCAAATTTTCCTCTTCTTAGAAGAGCACAGTTAGAGTGAATTTAGAGCTCACTACAATCCATGGTGACTTCATCTTAACTAATTTCATCTACAAAGGGCTTTTTTTTCTAAATAACGTCACATTCTGAGGTGCCAAGAGGGCATGAGTTTGGAAGGCCACTGTTCAACCTAGTACAGCTACAATCTCCACTTCACATATAAAAGAAAGGTGAGTCAGAATGGTTTTGGTCCCTTCTCAAGGCTCCAGACTCAAATTGAGGTGTTCTACCTCATTCTCTGTCACTTTGCATCAACAATACCACCTGAGAGGGACATGTTGGAAAATGCCAGCAATAAGGTGGTGGGCTTGGGTGCTAGAGCTCTCTCCTGGATCATAGGCTGCTTTTCTACTGAAAATCAGACTGCTCCGAGCTCCACCGTGCTGTGGATCTGTCTGAGGCAGATACAGGACAATGGGGCAAACCCTGAAGTCTGAATCCAGCTTTGTTCTTGTTGCCTCTCTGAATCTCATTCTCAGCATCTGTTTGAATGTTAGCAAAACCCATGCTGCACTATTGGGGTGAAACTAAATCAGATCAAGGAAGTAGGGGTGTCCAGCAGTACTGGGGGATGATAAGTATGATCTGATTCTTGAGCAGATTGGGTGGTACAGTGGTAACAAGCTCAAGGGATGTCAGAGCAATACAGATGATATGGGTTCAGTTGACCTGAACCCACCCAGTGTGTGAGCCCACGATGTTGACAGGCTAAGAAGGTCGGGGTAGGGATTATAGCATGAGACCTTGTTGAGGGTGCTAATTTCTCTCTCTTTCATGAGAGAAAGAAACTTTTTTTTTAAAAAAAAGAAACTACTACTTGTGTAGCTTTTTTATTACTATAACTTTTTACATTCAATTGCTGTACATCATTTGCCTTGTAAAGAGAATTTACCCAACATGAAATACACCTCAGAGCAGTCCAGTTGAGGATACTATACATATTATCAACAGGTAATAAGCCATTTCTATGTCCCACAATGTGCAGTTTATAAAATTATCTGAATCTCAATGTATTAAATATCACATTTCATGAAACCTCCAAAAAGATGATTTTTAGTCAGTAAAATTAATGGCATAAGGTTAATAAACCTGAAAACCTCCATTTCCAGTGCACTTGAAAATAAAACATGCAAGGAGGCAGAGGTGAAGTGTACAGGCACCTTAGGGACCTTTGCTTTGTGAGGATCTGAGGAAAGACTTTTGAAGCCCTGGGTATAGGCCCTGAGGCCCAGGTCCGAAGCCAGGCATGCAGTGGGTGGATAATTCCATTAATCAGAATTTCTCCTTTCCCTCACTGCTCATTTGCCTACTCAGAGAGATGCTCAGAAGACATCACCTCTGCGAAGCTGGGGCCCTGGAGTCCTGCTGACTGCATCATCTTGGAAAACCTAGACTGAGGTCACCATCTACACAGTGGCCCTGGTGTAGAGTCCATTCAGATGAAGATATCCATGACGCTCATTTTGACAGGCAAGAAGAGAGAGATAGTTCTCGCTTCCCAGGAAAGGGAGAGCAGGGGCAGACAATCATCTCAGCTCAGAAAGAGTTAGGAATGATAAGAAATTCTTCAAAATTAAATTAGAATCCTGGCTTTCAAAGTAGAGCTAATGATTTCAGTGGCGCTTGGACATTCAACTTTTCAAGGGAAGGAAAAGAAGGCATTTGGCAGAGGGTGCGGGTTCTTGCTTAGAAGCCTAGATTTATAAACAGAAGAGGAGAGGACAAGGGGTAGGGGTCCGGGACCAGCAGTTGGCGTAATGGCTATGTCGCTGGACTCCCACGTAGTCGAGCATGGTTCACGTCCCGGACCAGGTAGCTTAAAATTCACGCTGGGCGCGTGTG